TAAAAAGCCCTGAGGTTTGGATATTTATGGCTTTGAATAGCTATTTGCGTGGTATATAACAACTTCAGACACAAGTTACTCATCTCGGGTCAAGGTTTTAACCACTTTTACACTGCACAATTCGCGTTTCAACACATTAGCAACTTTTGATTTCACACCGCCATATTTTTGCCCTTCAAGGTGCATTCGAAAATATCCCGGAATTTCTGTACTCTAGTGATTATTCGGTGGATAAAACGCCGAGTTGCATCCCCGAAAGTTTAACGGGTTCTGTTAGGAATTAGGTCAATTTCTTTTTGTTTTTTTTTTATCGTGGTATAATTAAACAAATTTTATCACGGTAATTAGAGGCATTTATTGATGGTGAAGGTCAAATGATCATGAACTTTGGATGACCTTAACATTTAGTTGGAATCTTCACACTTAAGGGAACAATAATTTCAATTCTGAACGTTGAATTTTATTTGCAATTTCAATTTCAGAATTTAAATTAATTTTCTCATTAAATTCCTCATGGAATTTCACTTGACATTTTAGTAAAATCGATTTTTCATGATTAATTGGTTATTTTAATCCGATACATAATAAAATGAGAGATTCGAGAGACTGAAATTAGAATTCCTTCCATAAATGGGTGATGATTTTTCAAATTATTTCTGTTAAGTTTACGCTTTTATGAGAAGAATTTGGAATTGGATGAATTCCAGTGAAAATTTCCGGTTTATTTTCATACTTTCATGGAACATATCCCAATTACTCTCTGAATCGTTGGATACTTTTGCTGTTGCCTATATTTCGTGAGAGAACAATAGATTCCACGTGCGAGTGATGGAGTAAAAAAAAAACTTTCTCTTTGTTGTGGCCCGCGCACTTCCACCATTCATAAATCACTCCAACTAGCTGTTTCAATTCAACAATCATCGTGACTGTAATGATCTCGGTCTTGTTGAACTGCTCATTGGGGTTTATTACCGTTGTAAAGATCATCTCGTGTGTCCACACTCTGATTGAACTAATTCTCCGGATATATTTCGCATTTTCGTTGCGTGCGATTGAGGCATTCTCTTCAAGTCCCTTTGTACCTGATTGTACCGACTCCAGGATAATTATTTGCTCGGGTAATTACATCGATCAGTCCGTGGATCTCATACAATTGGGGAAAATTATTCCACGCGGTTAAAAATTTCACCGATTTTTAGTAAATTATCGGATCTTTTGTCATTGGGTAAAATTTATCGTACGATTGTTGTCCTGACCTGCGCTCTCCAGTAGTTATTTCACTAGCGAGGGATGAAAATCAATAATGTACAGACAAACTGGCACCTTAACTTGTCTCCAGCATTCTTTGGAGTACATCAATGTCTCGACAGTTGCTATGAACATATTCAGTCATACGTGCGACAAGGGGACGTTTTTATAACCGACACGTGACCAGAATTCATGATAATCTCCATCAAAAACTGACACTTGGGTGTTTGCGGGAAATAAAATTACCAGGTGCTTCACCATGTGGAATTTCTCATTACTCTTACCCCACTATTGGATCTTGATCTTCATCCAGAGTCGTGGGAAAATATGAGAATTTTTCTTTCATATTTTTCAGGACGTCAAAACATTTTTGCGAGGGATTATTTTTATCATTGTTATTACATATCATGGCGCTACGATTTCTCATTCCATATGATTCCATATTTTTCTATAATTTCATGGTTTCAAAGTGATTTCAAATGATTTGAGGATTGATTTATCATTTTAAATCAGTCGTATCGACATTTTACCAATGGAGCCCCTCGGATTTTTTAACAATTTGTGAAATTATTCATTCTCTCGATATTTTTTCTTTCTACATTAGTATCTTTGACGCTAGTCACAACCAACTCTCATTCCCAGTTTTTATTGTCGTCTAATAAAAGGGTATGTTGTCATCATGACACATTACGTCATTCTCACACTCGGCATTACGACAATTTATTGCACTAATATCACTTGAGTACACATCGCTCTGAATATCAAAGCGGAAGAAATGAATAGATAATTCAGTGATATTTGTGGTGGTTATCGTCGGTAGTTCATGCAAAAAAGTCAATTAACGCGGGATCGTCTGATAATTCTCTTTGATGTGGAGCCGCTAATCAGTTAGGGATCATGGGAGATAATTTAATTGTCGTTTCAATGAGTTCTTTGTTGTTTCCTGTCCCTTTTCCCATGAATATTCTACGGGTGCTGGGGGATAAGTTAATTTGCTTCCCTCATTCGAGGGTGAATCAATAGGGAAGAGAGAACAAGAGGAATCAATTCATTTTATAATATTGATGAATAATTTATTTCAACAATTTACATCTGTCATTTTATAATCACCAGGAAAAATCAATTTTTAATTCATTATTATTATCACCGAAATTTATCGTTCAGTTTTCCAAATTTTCTAATTTAATTAATCAATTAATCAATTAGTCATTTTCAAATGATTTTTTTAGTCTCATTTTCCCTCAAAAAATAATAAATCTATTTTCTTCGGATAAATAAATTCTATTGTCGCTAATAGAAAAATAGTTATCGATCTCTCGAACTCTCGAGCTCGAGAGTAAATAAATTGTCGATGAATAAAAAAAATAAAAGCGACAATTTGTCGAGAACTCAATTTTTTAATCGATCAATCAGAATCATCTTGATGTTGATGACGTAATCGGGTGATAAAAATGTTGGACGACTCAATTTGATTTCTTTTGGAATAATCCCGTTAGGTCGAGTCATCAGGTGATTGAAGAATTCATCAAGCGGTTTCGATCGGTCGAATTCTACCGTCGATGCCTCCGGGGCATTCACTTGCTGCCGGATGGCCTATCCTCTAGTCATTCACAAAAGATTGCATCACCGGTCATTAGATCTAATCGATTCGTTCTTTCATTTTTATCATCCCGACGGTCTTACCCAATTGATCGATAACTCAATAGAATAAATTACGATCGATCGTTATTCAGATTTTTACTCTCGGAATATTGACGGTTCGATTGAGGAATTGCCGATATTTTTCCATTTTTCAATTTTATTTAAACAAATTTCAAACGGTCGACAAAATTGACGCGAAAAAATACACCTTTACTGTTAGTCTTTCAGAAAATCGTTTTTATAATAAAAAATTATAAAAATTAGGGAGTAATTAAATAATTATAAGACAATTTCCCCGAAATTGCCAAAAAAATTATGAAAAATCGAAATATATCGGCAATAACTCCTAAAAAAAACAATATTGCGGTGAAATTTTTTTATTGATCATGTGACTGAACTTGAGAAATTAGAGAAGCCCTGGGATTATTTATTATCAAAAAAGAAAAATTGACTTGGCTGTCGGTGGAGCGTAGAGGTGGGATCGGTCGATCGGGAGATCTCTTGATCGATTCGGGCTGAGGGAATATATCGATCGCAACGGCTCACGGCACCTGGATATTTCCTCAGGTGTATATGAGAGGAATGGACAGGTTGGGCTGGGCCTTTCGATTAAACTGTACGTGGAGGCGGCAACAGGTGCTCCCGGGTCACAGTTCGATGCCCGCCATTTCTCTATTTTTCTCCATCGGGATGTCGACTCCTTCCGCCTTTCCCTCACTTCCTCTTTGCATTTGAGACATTGCTAATTATTTATTCTTGTCAAGGTATGGGTGGGAGGATATTCGGTTCTTTTAGCCAAAACAAATTTAAAAATTTTATAACAATCTCTTGCATTCGAGGACTGTCGCGAATAAATAAATCGTTTTCACATTTTATTTTTATTTGATAACTCAAAATTTTATGATTATACAATAATTTTTCGGGTTTTTTTTCTATTTCTAAACATTTAAATAAATTCATTAAACACTAGGAAAAATAGTGGAATTGAATTTGTGAATGTTTAATACGGAATAATTGCGAAAATTTATTGACAATATTCATGAAGTTAATCGGTTGAGTAATTTTTCTCGCAATCGAATCTTCAAATTTTCCATCAATAATTATCGTAAATCGGATTATGGGTTTCGATGGTTTTTCCTTCGATTATTTATTTTTCTCTGCAGTCAGTTTTATTTAGTTGTTTTTGAAATTCCTGAAAATATCAGTGTGATCGAGGGGGAGAAATAATTTTCCGGTGCAGCTGTTGATGCAGACATGCAATCGAGGTTTCCCGAGGGTGAACCACCCCCGACTAATCGATACGCGACATGAACGAGTGACGTGTTCGGAAAAAGGTGGAAACTAGGGAGTTACCTTGGGGTAAAAAAGTGGCATGCATTTGGCATTGGGAGTGGAAGGACTTGGGTATCCAAGTCCAAGGGTTGCCGATGCCTGAGGGAGATTGTCGCACTTGAATCGTAAATTATCGATTGTCATGACGGGATACATTTTTCCTGTGTAAAACCGGCTTTCTCATTCTGCCTTACCGATCGTGGGTTGTTATTTGGTTTAACAGTGAGAAAGAGTGACTCCAGGTGGCGGGTCATCCTGGGTGAAAGATCTTTCGAGATTAGTTCCTGAGAAATTGTGGCGCTAGAAATGCTAGGGGTTGAACTTTTGAATTTTCCCGCCGGCGGAAATTTCATTCAATTCGAAAATTAAATTATTTATCCACACGGACAAATTTATAATTGAAATATATTTTATATAGTTTTATATATTCGGGAAATATATGGTATATTAAATATATTTTTGAGATTTTTTTTGTCAGAGAATTATTCCGCTTAGAATTCATTAATTCGGTGAATGATTCATTAATTGATTGAGTATTAATTTATTTGTTTTTCAATTAGCCATCACTGAAATTCAAATAATTCAGAATGGTCTCTTTGAAAATAATTGATAATTCATTGATTAATGGAGTAAATATTATTGAAAATACAAAAATGTGGTTTATCGAGTTGTGGTTATTAGTCACAATTTTAATGTTGTCTCTCGGTAAATTTGAGTATATGCGTAATTTGAGTTGTTTGCTCGAGATGATTAATAGGCTTGTGTTTGATCAGACTTACCATTGGACATGGGTGTGCTTGGAGGATACCCTGGTGGTACCACAACTACCGGTTGAAGAGGATTCAACCTAATGAAATGCAAACAATTCACTCGAGTTACACCCACCAATTGTTCAATTATTCTTGTTTTATCCGAGGAAATGATCTTGAATTGAAACGCGATAAATTTATGCTCGAATTAATTTTTTCAGCTGTGAATTTCAAAAATTTTCATTAGAATTTGATTTTATTTTAAAAAATATAACAATTGGAAATTCGATTGAAATGACATTCAATTTTTGAAATCGAAAAATTGGTATCTGTGAAGTTTATCATGAAATTTTCGGTTTTTGGAAGTCAGGGAATTTTTTATGACACCTACGGTGGATTTTTTGATAAATTTTAGTCCGTGTGGAATCGATGGGATAATTTAATTTTCGCAAATTGCTCTTACGGTATCAAACTCATGATGCGACTCAGCTTCAGGCTCAGGACTCACTGGACTGACCATGAGAATTCTACCCCGAATGTTTTTAAAGTTCCAGATATCTTTGAAGAACAGTTAGGATACTTGAGTGGGGTTCATCGACATGCCAAGTCCGTCCTATCGGAAAATATTTTCCCCTCTTGCTCCACTATCCAGTTTGCGATCTAGAAAAGGCCATTTTTCCTTTTCGATTCCCGTTTCTGGTTATTTTATTCAAAGATCTCGACACGATATCGTAGTGCGGAGGGAAAAAATGAGAAAAAAAACTCCAGTGATGATAATCTCGCAAAAATTAATGATCCAGTAGTTTCCAATTAAATCCCGCAAAAAAAATGTTGATTAATTTTCATATTTCATCAAAATATTTTCAATAAATAATAGGACTCGTCAGGAGAATAATCAAAATATACGGATAATTATGTGGAGTGAGGAAGAATTAATTTTTCAAATTTCATGGAGTATTTTGGAATTCGTGCGTTTTTTTTTCGTGATTTCTGATTTTTTTGGGCTATTCTAATGCGGAGTAGTTAATTCTTTTGAGTCTTGCATTTTTTTTTTCACTCGATTTTACTTGAGCTCTGGGGGCTTTCATTGGCGGATGGGAATACGTGTTCCTGGGGATGGATGTGTGTCGTGTCCTGGTAGAATTAACGATAATGTTGGCATCCGTTGAGGGACAAGAGATATCCGCAAACACACCTAACTTTTCACTCCAAATAGATAATAAAAATACAAGTGGTCATCGACCGCAATGGCCTCCATAAACAGGTGAAAATACTCACCAAAATATAATAATCAGATTCAGGAATTTTAATTTATGAGAAATACACACAAAAGTAGAACAATTTGCCGTAAAAAAAAACTTCAATTCGATGACATGAAATATTTTACCTAGTGTCATCCAAAATAAAATAATATATCAATCCTTAACAATTTTTTAAAGAAGAGATTAATTAAAGAGTCAATTCCCTTTTTTGAGCAATTTTTTAATTGTCATATTTTAATTGGATTAATTTTTTTGGATTATTTTTTTTTGGATAATCCCTGATTTTTATTTTTATTATTCCTTGGTGATTAACTGGAATGAGAAAATTTTCGGTAACTATTAAAATTAAATTCGCAGGGAATGGCGATTTGATTGGAATAATGAATAAAAAATTGAGTGACTGTGACTGAAATATCTATAAATGTCAAATAGCTTAGATTAATCTACAATTGCAAACGGTCAGCCTTCATGGCATAATAATTGTAGCATGTCTGTTGGCAATGTGACATTAGAAAGGCACTTGGCATGAGAAATTGATGCGTGGCAACACTTGGGTGATATAAAAGGTCCGTTAACCCTCAGGCGATCGTTGATATGAGCATGTGTTTGCTGGATTGATTAAAAAAAATGTTAAAATTTCGAATGGGAGAAAAAGTAAGAGGAATTCGCTTCGATTGCGACGATTAATCTTGAATCCTTAAATATCTCGAACTGTCGGTTTGTTCTTGGAAGTCGAGTGGCGCCTCGAGTACTTTAGCTTCCTCTCGTTGACGTGCAAATAGCTCTGCATTTTAATTGACTCTCAATCGCGATATCCAAGATGCCACTTTATCCTGGATTTTTTTTTTTCAGTCGTTTTCAGACATTTTGCTCTTCAGTATTATGATTTCACTGACGTTAATGATACTTCAAGATAAATTCATTGACATTTGGGATGGATTAATTGCATATCAGGCGGAATTATCAACCACTTGATTTATTATTTGATACTTTTTATTTATATTTAATTCGACTCGAGCTCTCTAAACTCACAGATCATATTTTCGTTGAATAATTTCATCGGGAAATATATTTCATTTAACGGAATGTTTTTATTCAAATTTTTTCGACAGCAAGTTGTCGACATTAATGAGGGGTAAAACAAAAATTATAAATTGATCATTATTTCCGTAATAATAATATCTATTCCGTTATATCGCACGTCGCTTAAATAATTATTAAAGTAAACCGTCTGTCAATTTGATATTCGCAATCAGAGAATCTGACATTATAGTTATGTCAGTGGTTTTTTTTTTCTTCAGGGGAAAAAATTGAATGACAAGTCCGTGTAAATGATCATCAATCTTAGATTTTGTTTTTTCAAGGATTAAAATTCAGAGGAGATGAATGTCAATGTCGTAATATTCCACATGTCACTCCATGGATACACTTGAAATTAACGTAATGGAACAGGTCGTCATGTATTTTATTTATAATCGGCAGTCGCCAGACGAATTTCTCGCCAATTTGCATTAGCAGTTTAACATATTTTATCTCGTTACTTCTGCCGATTTATTCTCTCTGGAATTTTTCGTTCTATAGTTATTCCAGTTCCGGTGTAGCTCTTTATTTATTTTTTTCCTTTTTCAATGTCTAAAGTGTCGGACTGAATGTGAATGGGATTTCTGAGAAGACGGCGTTCACGAAATATTCCCCTTTGAGTCACTTCAGCTTTTACGATTCCATCAAAATACGTTCACTGAGAAAACAAAGACTGAGAATTTCATATTTCACTTGTAGAAATTATTTCAATGGCTATTCCATCTGAATTCTCGGTATTTCGATTTCATTCATTTCAGGAGCAAATCCAAATTTTCATTCATCTTTTCTTTTTACTATTCCATTCATCTTGAAGATTTTGTATTTAAAAAATTTTTGTTTATTCCTCCACTAGATCTCGTAATTCAACATTTCCACCGGATGTGAACGTAATTACGAGAAGTCATATCTAGTCGCCATGATTATTTTTTCAGTCTTGTATTTGTTCACATATGTCATTAGTCCATTGATTAATCTTCTTTATCCAGGATTCAATCGTTTACCCGTTTTTCTATCTCTCAACTGAAAAAACAGTGAAGTGAGTCGTTAAAAAACCATTAGAGCAGAACGAGGATATAATGGAGAGGATATTTGAAATCTCGGAGTGTTAAATTTATTTTTGGATCGTTTGAACCAGGTGGAGCAATAAAAATTCACGTGGGCAATGGGGGGTTGGCGGGTATTTTCAATGCACCCTAGTGCATTCCTTCTGACTCGTTTTACCTGTTAATTTAATATTCGCCCTGTGGCTGTTGCCTTCAGACAAAACACGTCCACCTGGGATATTAGTTAGTATTTTATTTCGAAAGGCTAGGTCTACTGCATAATGCTGAATCCTTATTTTTTTCGGGGGACAATTATTTCTTGTCATTATTCTCGCGTGTAATTTCACTGAATCGTTTTATGGGGAAATTATTTTTTTTCTACATAATAAAAGTAATAAAAATTGAAAGGATTATCGGAATTTCCATAACTTTGAAGAATTCAGAATTAACTGACATTTTTTTTAAAACAGAGCAATGATTTAAAAAAAAATAATTCCGAATTTGAATTCGGCGGTTCGAGTTGACCAATGAGGAGTTATTAATTATTAGTCCTACGCGGTTTCGAGATATTTCGACTCGGGCGAACTTCATTTTTGTTTCTACTTTCCTAATAAGGACCCAATGGCAAATAAAAAAAATTATGAATTTTCGTGAAAATTGTTAACAATCCTCAACAGTCGATATCTCCAGATAGAAAAGTGATATCGAAAAATGGAAAAAAATGGAAAAATTTGTTTTTGAATTGAAAAAGATATTCAAACCGATGTCAGTGCGATGACAGCGCCCGATTGGGAGCGGAAGCCGTGTGAAGTAGACGTCGAAGAGAGGGTGCGCATGTTCTGTTGTAACTGGAATGTTCTTTCTCTCTCATTTACCCGGTGGATATCGGTTACCCTGTTGGTCTTGCAGAGAATTTTACACGTTGGAAAAAGTGAGATAGATAGAGAGGGGATAAGTCGGTGTGGTGGCTGGGTGGGTGGGCGTCAGTTGTCCAAGGAGTCACCAGTCTCCGGCGGTGCGACGTGCTCCACACAACCTGAGCTAAATCGCGCGCGTCCTCCAACCCATATGCCAATGTTTTGCCGATAATATCAACAACACAATCATTACAATAACGATAAAAAAACCGAAAAAATAACGTCAACGCGAATACTCACTCGAAATTAATCGATAGCCCAAGTGATTTCGAAATGATTTTAATGAGTTGTGTGGTCAGGTTATTTGATATTTGACATTTTTATCAGTGAATTCACTTGTGAGCTGTTTATTTATTTATTAGTCTCGAGTTATTGTTGGGTGGGGGTGGAGAACAGCTGGTGCGCGTGTGGGGGAGGGAATTGTTTTATGGAATAAAGAGGGGGGCGTGCCTGACAGTTCGCACACCGCGTGACTCATAGACGGTTTCATTTTTTTTTTTTTAATTGGTTTTTGGAGTTTTTGGTTTTTACGGGTATATTGCGAGGGGATGAGCTGTGGTCCTTATGGGCCTGGGGACTTCTCGGGTTGTGACGGCATTCCTACAGGTGCCTCGGACCCATCTCTGTTGCATTGCCATTTTTGAGGTTATCGAGGCTTCCAGGGGACGACCTTGACGCGCACCTGTGGGATGGGGTATGGGATAACGCAGGTATAAAGACAGGATGAAAATATGTGGGAACTATTGCCATGGGGTACATTTGATGATTAGGATTGTGATTTCGGGGGATTTGTTTTATTCATTTCTTTTACATATTTTTTTTTATTGAGTGGAAATTTTATTCGTGGAATTGAGATAAATAGATAAATAGATTAAACTGTAGATTTTCTGGGCGATTTGATTCGATCGATTCGATCTTCATGATTCGATTTTGACATGCCACTGTTATTTTGAAAATGATGGATAATTTGGAAATTAATGGAAATGGAAATTGCCAGTGGGAAGAGAATAATCTACGATCTAGACTTGAAGTCGTTATTTGTATTATTGGCTTGAGATAATTTGGTTGGAGTTGAATGTTTTAATTAACATCGTTTCTCCTCTGGGAGTAGAAATGGGCGAATTCTCAGACGATATTTCCTAGAATCTTGAATTAATTACGAAATTAAAATACATAATTTTCACCAAAACCATAAATTTCTGGCGTCTCACTCAAATCGAATATCTATTCAAATTTTTTAATTGTTTGAATTGGCATGATTTTTATAAATCAGAAATTGATGCATCTTTTGCCTCTTCATGGATTTTTATCCACCAAGAAAGTCCACTGATATTTTTTTCATATGAATAAATGAGAATTTAATTGATTGCAGTTGGCTTGAATTCATTTGTATCTGGTGGCACGGTGTCGGCATTTATTTTTGATTAGTGTGTCTCTATTTCGGCATCATGAGTTCTTCCTGTCGAAAGGGGACGATACCCTCAAAGTCGTCAAGTATTTTTCTCAGCAGTTGAATTTTTCAATTCTTCTCTTCTCGTTGACTGTGAAATTTTGTTGTGTCTTCATCGTCGGCCAATTAAGATGAAAATTCATGTGTCTCAGCCGGATGCTGCGGGACTAAATATTTTTTAACTGTACCACCAGATTATTTAGGGAATTAATTCACACATCACGTGAGCAATACCAGCGATATGTTCTGACAACAGGATCCCTCCATTTGTCCTTGACACGGTGAATTTATCATCGTACGGTATTCACGTATTTTCCCTTGAGGTGTTTATTCTCTCTTTTTATGGCACATGTTTTGTCATAGTTTGTCGGAAAAATTAGAGGAAATTCGTCAGGGTCTTGTGCATTATTCATTGAGGATTTACGACGATAAATGGCTGACGTACCCTTCCGCATGCTCATAAGGCGATTTTTCATTTCGCTTTTCAATTAGTACATTTTTTTTTTTCATTAAACTGCGCCATTGAAATTTTAATTTCTTCATGGCGGTATTGCAAATTATATTTCTTAATGAATAGAATTTTTCAAGGTGCACTCCTTAAATCCATCGATAAATAATTGATCTTAATTGAATTCTCTGAAAATTTTGGTTTGGATGGAAATGCAGTTTTATTCAAGGATTTTTTAAAAACGAGTTTTTAGATGGAGAATAAATTTGTTGAATTGTAAATTTTTTTCCTTTTGTATATTGCAAACAGAGATAGCATGCAATCAGTTATATCCGGATGTGGTAGGAATGAGGTAATGACGCAAAATTGTCAATGTCTCATGAATGTTTTTTTTTTCTTTTTTCACTCGTGTCTCATCGTCGATATGTCAAGGGCTTTCCTCTTTCACCGAATCGCATTGAACGATTATTTTAATGTCATACCGTCTCAGCGATGATTTCAGTGGTTGAGCCAGCGTTAATTGGCAGTCGTGAATGCGATATTGAGAGGCTATTAAAGCTTGGATCATCATTACGGGGCTTTATTGATTTGAGAATACCCTGGAAACTATTGATCTGTGGGAATTTTTTTCGATTTTTTAAACTCAGAGCACAAGAATTTCCTATTGCTAGAATCCCAGTGGACTTTTTCTCGAATAGACACGTTTCTTTTAATATCATGGAATATTTCCTGTCTGAGGATTGATTTATTTCGAGAGGGAAAATAGTTAGGGCTGAGTGTTCGTATAATTGAAATTCTCCTGAGTTGTGCTGGGAGTTGGAAATATTTTCTCATTTTTTTTTCTGCGATAGATACAGCGACGATTTAATTAAACCCACAATAAGTCTTTCAGTATTCTCCACTTTCACTTGTCCTGTCACCACACATGGTCGAGTGACTAATCACCGGGTGTACAATCCTAAATAGACATTTTCGGTGAATTTTCCCACCCGTCGGGGTGAATAGTTTGTCATGGGGTAGCCAGAGGAGATCGTAAATTCAACAGCTTCCGTGACTATTTTCCTGTCTATAAAAAAGATTGACGTACACGATTTTCATGTTGTCTTATTTTATGGGATGTGCTGGGTTGACGATTGATATGTCATGGTGGAAAACGGTAAAATGTCCAGGTCGATTTGTATCTGTCGATACGCGTCTCTGACTCTTGATGGATAGCTTTCAAACATTTTGCTCATCTCCACAGTCATTTGTGAAGCATCAGGGGAGAATCATCAACGCTCTGATGACTTCATTCGAGACAATGGGAGCCTTTGAATTTCATGAATTTTCAATTATTCGGGAATATGTTTAGTAATGAATTTAGACAGTTTATGGGATTATACAGGAGAAGATATTTCGTCGGAATATATAAGTGCCTTTTACTGTTTCTGTTGAGATTTTTTCTCAAATTTGAGGGAGGGATTTATTTTTCAAGTGAATAATAGTTTATCGGTGAGGTAAAAAACTCTAGGTGAATTTTACAGAGAATTCTTCCCTCTGCATAAATATTTTCACTTTGAGGCCGAATTTAATGCGACAATTCTGAAAATAACACCTAAACCCTCGTAAAATTTCAATGCAAAGGTCTCCAAGTTTTTTCTTTGATGTTCCCTCTCGACAAGATTCCTTCGATGTCTCTTGAGGTTTGTCGAAGCTGTCCTTCTGACGCGTGTTACCAGTACTATCGACACTGAACTACCTATCGCTTCTCACTCTCACTTCAGCGATAAAAAGTTAGTGAAAATAGGTGTACAACCGCGCAACAGCCATTCCTGAATGCCTTTCGTAATACCTGCGATCTGAAAAAGAGAGGAAATCATTCTGCAGTGGAGTAGTAAAAGTTGCACGAACTCCTCGATGATATTTTCCAAAATATCTACGAAACTAAAAAAATAATGAAATTTTTGTCGGAATATTTTTTGTCGAGCTCGTGAAGAGCTACAAAAAATGTTATTATTAATTTCTACCTGTCTCTCTCGGTTTCGGAGATAGTTCGATAAAACTCAATGAAAAAATCAGCGACTTCGTGCGATTTTTGTATTTTGCTGGTGGAGTTGATGCGCAAGTGAAAGACAACTGGTGGAAAATGTAAATTTTCGACTGTTGCACATCATCTTCTTTACGATGACAGGTTCTCTAACATATTCAAGAAGTCGAGACTGCCTTGACGAAAAAAAAAATCGCGCTTATCATCTCAAATTTATTCTTAACGTTATGCAAGAGTAATAAAACGAGAGTTGATTACGGTTGCTTCTAGATTTGATAGATAATGATATACTGGATGGGCTTTTTAGTACTCGATTTTGGTTTAGTAACACTCTCTTGGACAGGACTAGATTCGCGTGGGTTCGGTTGAAAAAAATCGCTGGAAAATCGACAACTATTTATTATTACCGAGGAATCGTATCGTTGCTCGTATCTCATTCAAAAAAAAGATCATTTACATATTTAACCACTCAATTGAATAGATTGAATTATTATACGCGTGGCAAGACTCAGATCAATTTTTTATTATATATTTCGTCATAATAATTGTATAATGTAATTTCTTTTTTTTTTATTGGAGAGAATAGAGTAGATCGTTCGTTGAATAAATTTGTTTAGTTGGAGTCTAAAGCCTTTACATCGTAATGGCATTGGGAAATGATAGCGGATATCTATTGAATTTTATCACAACTCTCTCCGATGTGAGTTGATCAATACACCTGATAACATGAACAATTGTTTGAATCGGTGTCGCTGGTTACGCATCATTGATCGTCTCTAATCGCTCGGGAAGATTATTCAATGCTCGATCGAGTCAGCCAATGCCATTCTGATAAGCTCCTTCGTCTATCCTCTTGTTGCTAAGATATTCTGTAACACTGAACGATTGTTCAGACGTAACACTTTCTCGAGTGAAATTTCACCGGTCGGCCCCTCGAGGATAATTCGGTCTTTTTTTTATTTTTTTATAAAATTTTTTCATTTCGCGGCAAATTATTATTTTACTCATTCAACTATTGGAATTCTGAGAGATTTTAAATTTTTATCGAATTATCAGAACACTTTTTGGGGTCAGCGGGAATTTCGAAAAGTTCATCGGTTTTTTATAAATTAAAAAAAATGTTTGAATTTCTGGGAAATTTATAAAAATTCGATCTTCCCAAGGATTTGAGATAATTTTCTAATTTTGCAATTGTTTATAAAAAATTTAAAAAATTTTTTAATTTTCTTGGCTTGATTCAAAATTTATAAATTTTTCCCATTGGAATAAATTATTATTATAAATTATCTTGAATAAATTTTGAAATTCAACGACTGTCTTTGTCTGGATCAGTCTTTCAACTCGATTGGGAGCGGAATGACATTAGCTATTGATTTATCGATGAAAATGAATTGATCATATTGGCAAAGTGGTGAGTAGATGAAGTGGTGGGCGAACTTGTCTGGGCAGGGCTTATCATATTCAACCACTGTACAATTACCCCACGGTATTCGCCAATGGCATTCAACAGATGAAATTGAGAGACACATTCAGCATTTTATCATTCTATTACGAATCGACGAGGCTCGTTGCGAACTCGATTTTATCCGTGGTACCTTATTTCTTGCACTCAGATATTGGGGTGGCTCCCACGTACCTTTAAAAACACGCATAACACCACCTGTCCATTTAAGGATCGATCCACTCCTCAAAATCCACCTTCCACAGATTTTTTTTATTACCTCAAACCGTACTTGTTTAAATGACACGTCAATTATTCATTTTATCAATCCTGGGTAATTCATTT